TATATGAAGTTTATCAGTATACACTTGAAGACTGTAATGCACTAACCTATGTATTTCAGGATTTGCAAAAAACTCTATTGTATTTTAATTATAAACTTATCGAACCGATTAATATCTGTCAACTGGTTTATTATAATGCATAGCCTCTATGACAATAAAAAAAGATCAGCAACCACCCCCTTTCCCCTTAATGCACGGTACGTGTGCACTTACATATCATTCCATACATATTTGTGATATACTTTTTCTATAAACCAACAACAGATATTCTGTACATTACCAGAATCTTAACGATTGATACAATCGCTTTCGTTAGTTGTATAGCGCGTATTACCAATGCGGTATAGCGATATAAATTATCTTCTCTGTTCAAAAACTTTGAAAAGATATTCGCGTGCTACTTATTTTGTCACTGATGCAGTTATTACAAGATTGATCAGACATCGAAGCCAGGTCAGAAAAAATTTACCTATAAAGCGGATGAATGATTTTTCAAATGTTTTAATTTCAAAATTGTACTTGTTTACCAAAGAAAATCAATCTCAAATTTTCTGATGGTTTTACCGTACAATAAAGAAATTATTTGTAATAATCACCATATTTTTTAATATGGAGAAAGTGCATTTTTTTATAACTATATTGATTTTACATTTGCACACAAGTGTTTTTTTTTTTATTTTAGCCAAGATTTTTCATTAATGAAGGAATTTTTTCTATTCTTTACAGTTCTTTTAATCTCTAATGTTGTATTAAAAATATTTCGAAACATAAATAAATGAATATGAAATTATCTTATGCCTACGAAAAATAGTTACTCTACAGCTTTGTCAATGCTTGAAGCTGTCAAAAGTAAATTGCACCCTTTAAATTTTTTAAGTTTTCTTGATAACTTGTTAAAACGAAAGTATGTACTTGTGACATCATATATTTGTTAATGTCCATGTCAATTTGCATGTTTAAAAATTAATATTTAATTAATAAAGGAAGGAATATGAGGGGTGAATCCTTTTTATGAACTAAATAAAAATATTGAGGGTATTTGTACTAAAAACTTGCAACTCCGACATTTACCTGCCATAAAGAAAACAACGTTGAACTTGATTAGCATTAAAAGAAGGCCATTGAGTTTTAAGATATAATATAAAATGGTCAATTAAATCGACCGATTGCAGGAATGGTAAAATGATGTGAAAAATACAATCGGTCGTCTTTCTTGTGCATTGGTGTATGAATACATTCCGTGTAATGGCCGTTAAAGTGATCCAATTTTGCGGATCCTAGGACTGTTGGGGAAATTTGAATTGTTTAACCCCTTTGATGTAAATATTATAGTAAATTATGAGTTACAAAAGATTTTCTTCAGCTTTCTCCTTCCTCGTGTGATAGGTCCTTTTTTAGATTGCGGCTTTTGTGTCAAAACCATGACGTGAATGCCTCCTTAAAAGGAAAACATCAGAGACAGTCTTCCGCAGTCTCATCTTCTACGTAGATCTCCGATAACGTTGTCGTTGAACCACAAACTATGTCTGAGATGTTTTTTGCTTTTGCGGACTGGCCAAAAGAATTCGCACAAAAGCTGAAATCTTTCGTCATTTCACTGATCTCTTTGCTCTCCTGATGGTCACATGTACTTGATAATTTAACGGTTGACATGGGATATATATTATCGCCATCAATACTATTCTTACCAAAAGACTCAAGTGAGGTTGTAGTTGATGTAGCCGTAATCATGTTTCGCGATTTGTCGACGTCCATGTAGTAATCCTAAAACAGAAAAAAAGTTGTTATATTTATAGCAATGTGAATATTAATACAGAAACACTATTACTAACCTTCTCTGTGTCTAGGGGACTAGTAATTTGAGGTTGTGGTGGACAACTTTGATTGCATTGTGCTAAAGCGATTAATGTCTTTTGACTTTCTCTAGCATCAACTAGGAATATGCTTTCTTTAACTTCTTTCGCGTTGTACTCATCAATTCTGTAAAAAATAACAAATAACTCCGGTACTTTTTATACATAAAAAATAAATGATATATTTATAATTTAAATTGTATTACTTACTTGTCATAAATTACTGCATGCAAACCAAGTTTCTTCAGATGTTGAATCGTATCTTTATCATTATTGTCATCCCCCCAACAAAAGATAATTAATCCAGCATCCTTTACAAATTTAACTTGTGACGGATCTCTAAGGATATCTTCAGTATGGACATTAATTCCTAAGATATCAGCCGCTAACGCGTGTCTAACAGCCATTGGCACTGTTTGACACCTTGGATCGTGGTAAGTGGGATATTTCGAAGTCACACCTTGTGTCAAAAACACTACTGGGTACTTATTTTGCTTAAGACGTATCATGGCACAAATATCTGGGTTAAATGATGAGAAAACGATTTTTCTATCTCCTCCGTATTCTAAAACGACTTTCAATATAATATCCAAATACATATTGAGGTCGAAAGGATGGTTAAGCTCGAACGTGCCGTCCTGTATGTACATATAATTTCCGTAAGAAAATAGTAAATAAATAACGTTAAATATATTATCTTTACCTTCAGCTGCATAGTCCATTTAATTTCAATATTACAACCGACGTGTTGTTCCAATTCTTGAAGTACGGATTTGTGACGTAAGGGACATGCAAAATAGTACATTTACTTTTAATGTAATTCTGTTAGATTATAAAAACTGGTAAAGGTCATATTATGACGTTTGACGTAATAGATTTTTCGAAGTTAAACAAAAGCAAACACTTCGAAGTCATGTAAATATATTAAAAATAATATCATGCCTTTCATAATATTATTCACATGCTGTGATAATGTGTATTTTTAAAATACATTTTTCGATGACTAGTTCCTTACTGACGTATGGAAGCAGGTACGTGACGCCAGAGGGGAATGAAATTGGTGAAGATTATAAAAAATGATCTTCAAGGTCATTGAAGCATCTTTACAAAAGGTCGTTTGGTGATATATTGGTAAAAAATACTTTTCAATCAAATTACTTTGATAACTTACAGTATCAAGATTAAGCTTTCAACTTTTAATTGAAGCATAATATACGATATCGTGGCACTATGATGTGATTTTAAAAAATCAATTTTAGTTGGTTTTAGAGAAAACTTTTAAAAAGCATGCATCGAGTTGTTTAAATGAATAATTGTTTATACATTTTGGCGACGAGTTAGGCGGCGCAAGCGATATGAAAGCTCACCAGTTGGTTAACCCCCTGCTCGGCTTTATCAACGAAATACAGCACTTTACCCAACGAGTCCCCCGGGTAATAAAAATCCTGTTGAATATTAAAAAAAACAAATACGAATAGGTATGTTACACCTATATATTCATGATTGCATGTTGTGGTGTATCTACATACGATACAATCCCTGAAGTGATTGATTTCTCCTTCAATACAAAAAAGGACATAAAAAACGAGATGTTAATACGCGTAGCATTATCAAGAAGCCGCATTCTATTAATTAATGGTAGATGAGAGGTTATGTTAGATGTGCATTATTAATTGATATAGTGAAAGATTATGTAGCTAGAAATAACATTTAGTGATGTTCCATGATTTATGAAGTTGATTGTGTAACATTTTTATCTAAATTATTTTTAGTTATTCGCGGTGTATATATATTATTTATTTTATATCGCTTAGAAGCTAATTGTTAACAACTTCAAGCAAAGAAGAATTAACTTTTAACTTGTTACTCTTCATGGGTGATATATATTTTGCAATAAAATAACAAAAATAAAATCCATTGAGTTCACGTTGAAATCTATAAATAGCTATAAACATGAAAATTATGTATACGAAGTCAATGAAAATAATATAAATCATTATCATGACTTTTTAAATTTAACTATGTGCTCTAGAGTGCACAATTTATTTACATAAAAATTACCTTTAATAAATGTAGCTGCTCTAATGTAAGATCCTTAACAGGTATTTCCAGCATATCCATAGCTTCTGTTTGTTTTTTGCGTTTTAAAGAAATAGATACATAGAAATCGTGGTAAATGACTGGTATATGGTCTTTAGACAATTGGACGTCAAATTCGACCATGTCAGCTCCGTGATACGATGCAGTCTTTAAAGAAGCTATTGTATTTTCACGTACATTAGCACAGCTATAAACAAAATTAAAACGTAGAAATTTTTCTGTCTAAACAATGTCTGTAAAAATCTAATTTTTTCAATTATTCTAGAGAAATAAACATACTTCTTTGTTTGAAAAGATGTACCCAATCCTCTGTGCCCCACATCTAAACCAGACCACCGTTGTTCCCAATGTTTTGCATATGAAATACTCATATCCCATGGATAATCCGGAATTGATTTTATCACAACAAACTCCACTGTGAGTTGCCCTGAGGAGAAAGTGAAAAAATTTATTGATGATAATCGTCAACAATTTCCAATAGTAATAAATAATAATGAACAGTAAAAATTTAATCATACCAATTGGTCTATGTTTTGTGCTTGTAATTGGTACTGTTAGAAGCCCAACACTAGATTGTAATGTACTGGGCAAGATGTAGCTGAAACCAATATGATTTGGTGGTTCTCCTGGAAAACACCTTGAGCTGTACACGTAGTAGTCCACTAAATATGCCTGAAAAAACAGTTTACTTAATATACATGGAAAAATACTACTGTATACAACAACACCAAATGCCTGCATCAGTATTTTTTGCTCATCCATTATAGAGCTTGCTTCAACATTAATTAAGTCCAATGATCAAGGACATTTGGTTTGAAGAAACTTTTTTCTGAATTTTTCTAATCTAAGAAACAAGAAAATTAGAGATTCTAATAAATGTGGCAGTATTTTATGGCACATTATTAACGATCCTTGATCACTAAAAAGCGTAGGAATTAAACTATATCATTTGAGACATTTGTACATCTTTCTTTTAATCCTTTGGCAGTTTCAAATAATTTGTAGGCAAGAGCAACAAATTACTAGTGAATAACAAAACAAAGGACAATAATTTATTTCCTACATAATCTAGCAATGAACCAGACCAATAATTGCCAAATGCTGTACTCTGCCGGGTGACGCGTATCCCGCAACACCTGCCGATCATTCATTATTAAATTTCGATATCAAGTCTGCAAGGTTTATAATTCAGATTCAGAAGATTCTGACAGCTTAGTCTGGCATTGGCCGCGCAGCGGTGTCACGTACGGTACAGTAGAGTTGGTCAGAGCTAGAAAATATTAGTAGTACACTAAAAGGATATAGGAGTGATGGGAGCCTCACCATTTTCGACGCACACAGATGGATATGAGGTGTGACAGCGTTGATATCTCTAAATTCTTAGGGTTGCTTAGGAGGGCTGCGACTCACGTAAACCGATCTCACATTATAATAGATTGTGTAGTCTGCGTGTTAAGTATTGTCGAACCTAATCCAATATCTTCAATCATAATTAATTCCATGTACTTCAGAAAAATTTACAGATTTACGAGAGACTAGCCTAAGGATAGGTGCGGTAAGGTGAACGACAATCAAAACCATCATATCTCTGTGTGATGTCATGTGACACAGATGTAAAGTGGTAGACGATGCTTAGCATCGATACATCAGATTGCATGTTAGCATCATCATTTGCACCAGAGGTCTTGCTTTGTACAAAGCTGACGGTTGTCTTCATTCCAGGCCAGTGCGCGTGACATCGCTTCTGATTTCCAAGGAGGGCAATAGCTGCTGAACAAGTTTAATTATCTTTTACCAAGTAATTTTAACAAGTCGCGAGAGGAGACGTGGCCAGCCTACTCGTGGTCTACTGAAAACTCACATGGTATGGTCAATGCGTATCTTTAGTGTTATCTAATTTCTTTTATGAATTACCATTAGTTTGTCATTTATTGCTCTGACATACCAATATTTTTTACTAATTTTTATACTCATTATTAATCTGCCATTTACATTAAATAAAGATGTACTTTTGTCACAAAAAAAACCAAAAGAATAAAGCTAGCTGATATATTATTGAAGACGATGCCTTTGATGTTTCCATTTGCAGAACTGTCCATACAAAAGACGAAAAGGTGGATTTGGAATAAAAATCGAAGATCTATCCTATGTACACAATGCAATGTTACAAAAATTACAAACAATGCAAGCAATAAATACCAACCAATGGTTATTCATCGAGTTGTGTATTTACTGTGATTTTTTGGTGAGATTCTTTACAGGATTACTTACGATAGTTTCGGGATATCGAACCGCAACATTGAAGATAATAAATTCGTCTTCATTGTAAGCTCGGCCAAATTGCTCTTGTATCTTGAAGTGAGCCTCTTCATCATTCATTACCTAAAATTATAACAAGAATATACTATCCGAAAAACAAATGAGGAAATTAGCTATCTGCCAAAAGAATAGAACCAAATTATACATACAGCAATTTCTGTAATACTAAAGGCAGGTTGATCAATAATATCTTGTGTATCCATAGAAAGACTATCATCTACACAATCGCCTCCAAATTGCTGCAATTCTAAGGAATTGTGCCTAACTAGATTTACAGGTGTCATCTAAAAGGAAAATATATCTTTAATTTTGAATTTTCAAGAGTCAACATGCAATTAAATGATTGCAAATTACATACTTTAATGTGAACTTTCCTATTTTGTAATCGATTTTTCCATAGTTTAATTGGATTATTAAAAAGCTTAAATTGTATCACAGTTTCATCGGTCAACCAACCGCGTTCAATTTTGCAATAACCATTGTAATAACCGAATTTGTCTGGATCTGGCAATGTGTCACTAGTGAAATTGCTAGGTGCTGTAATAAATTTTTTCACATAATTTTTCAGTCTATAATAGAAATACTACTTCTAAATCAATCAGTTATGTTTGACTACATACTGTTCTTCTTAATAAGGCGTGGTGTCATATGTGTCTCCCATCTACGTATAATGAGAGTCTTGGCCGAATTCTTAGTACCATTAGATTGACAGATGACAGCAACAAAATATCGAAACTCTATATCTGCATCAATGGGAAGTGCAACTTTTTGGGAAAATATTTGTCCACCACTGAAATTTATGATAATGAACATGTTATAAATTAGGATTATTAATAATATGTTATAATTATTATGCATAAGACCTTGTAACATTTTAAGTGAAGTATACATAAAAAATAGAAGAGAATAAATAGTAACATAATAGACCATAGATAACCTGAAACATCTATATTTACTTACTCATCTTCTAAATCACCAAATCCATCTCCAGCATTGTTATGTCCATTGTCATTATAAAATTCCCTGCTACTGTTATTATCAAAAAGTACAGGAGAATCCCGACTGCCATGTTCTTGTGATAATTGAATTGCTTGGTTGTGATTCCAAGCACCCAATTCAGGCAAATTACCCACCACATATAAAACTTCATTTTTCTCCAATGTATGCACCTAAGTATACAGCAATTTTGTAAATAGCAAATAAAAATCATTCAATGTTATTAATTTAAGAATTTATAAAAGGTATGAATATGTTCACTAACCTGGACTCTAAAAATCCAGTCCCTCTTGGATCCCCTCATGTCTGATGTATGTTCAGTAGCCACCTCGATGAAGCTAGTCTCAGGTGGCACCTCTAGCTGCTTGAATTGCTCCTCCTCTTTGTTCTCTATAAACCACATCCGCTGCATATTACTATGTTTTCTTTTTCTCACTGTTTTTCTCTTTCAATTTTCTGTGTTTCAAGGTGTGTTCAATTCACATCAGCTAATTTTCTGTAATAAGGGACTTGTTGTAAGGTATGTTAAGAAATTTTTATAATAGCAATCAAATGTATTGGGGTAAATTATTAACTAGATAAATTTTCTATATCAATTTTTAAAAATTCCTCTTTCTGAAA